CCCCGCCGCTCTTTCTCGCTCCAGGTGCTCCCCAGGTAGACCCCCTCCCCGCTCCCGGTCCTGCTCCTTCAGGTGTGTCTCAGGTTGACCCTCCTCCCTTGACTGCGTCGGTTGAGGTCACTGGTGACTCAGGTCCTGCTGCGGGTGGTCCTGCTCGGGGTACTACTTCTGGGGGTGCTGAGCGTGGGGGTGCTGAGCCTGGGGGTGCGGAGCCTGAGGGTGCGGAGCCTGGAGGTGCTGAGCCTGAGTGTGAGGAGTCTGGGGGTGCTGAGCTTGGGGGTACTGAGTCTGGGGGTGCTGCACCTGGGGGCGCTGAGGCGTCTGGTGAGCAGTCTCCCTGGAGCGGCCGTCTCCGTAGTCGCTCCGCTGGTGCCTCGCCGCTGCACTCTCGTCGCCTCCTCCCTCTCTCCCCACAGCAGCTGCGTGAGTGGTACGTTGGCCGTCAGGGTCGCGCTGCTGGAGCTAGGGGCCCTGCTGCTGGAGGCGCTGGAGCTTGTGACTCTGCTACCGGAGTTGTTTCTGCTGGAGTTTCTGGAGCTGCTGGAGGTGCTGCTGCTGGTGGTGCTGGCGCTGGAGGTTCTGGAGCTGCTACGGGTGCTGGCGCTGGAGGTTCTGGAGCTGCTGCGGGTGCTGGCGCTGAGGGTTCTGAGTCTGCTGTTGCGCAGTCTCCTTGGAGTAGCCGCCTTCGTCCGCGTGTGCCGCTCACGTCACAGCAGCTCCACGACTGGTACGGTCGCCGTCAGGGTCGCGCTTCTGGAGCTCGGAGTTCTGCCGCTGGAGGTGCTGCTGCTGACGTTGCTAGAGCTGGGGGTGCTACTGGTCCTTTGTCTACTGGAGGTGCTGGAGTTGCTGGTCCCGGAGGTGCTCGTACTGGAGGTACTGGAGCTGCTGGGGCTGGAGGTGCTGAGCCTGCGGGTGCTACTGCTGGAGACACTGCGGCTGGAGACCCTGGGTCTGGGGGTGCTGCCGCTCGTGGAGCTGGTCCTGGAGGTGCTGGCGCTGGAGGTTCTGGAGCTGCTGGAGGTGCTGGAGCTGCTGGTGCTGGTGGCGCTGCATCCCCGCGACTGTTCTTCGCTCCGCCGTCTCCATCGTCTCCACCACCGCCTGACACTGTACTTAGTCAGGCTCTCAGCCTCCCGTCTTCCATTGGTCTTCCGTTACAGCTTGGCTCACCGCTGCCTGCTCCTTCCCCTTACACTGAGCAGGCAGGAGGTCTTGCTGAGCGTCATGAGCCTGCGTCGCGTCCTGTCTCGCCTGTTCGTTCTGGTCGTACCAGTCGTCGTGTTCCTCGTCCGCGTTCGCCGGCTGTCCCCAGCGCGCACCTCGTCGTCCGTCGTCCTTTCTCTGCTCCGCAGTCTGTTCCTCTGCCGTCTCCTCCTGTGTCCTCTCTGCCTGACGTCGCAGACCCTGAGTCTGACCGGTTTCGTGCTGAGCACCCTACTGTCACGCGTCTGTTAGCCACTGTTGTCACCGACCCGTCGTTTGAGTCTGCTGCTGCGTCTGCCTTGGTCGTTGAGCTTGTCGACTTTGCTGCTGCCTGTCGTCTAGACTACGCTGCCAGTCTTGTTACTGAGTCTGAGTCTGTCTGTCCTCCGTCCGTCGGGGGTGAGTGTGCTCTTGGCACGGACGTCCTTGAGGACAGACAGGAGGACCTTGAGTGTCTTGCGACCGCTGCGCCTCATCTCGTGGCCATGCTGCTTGCTCCTGAGGGAGACCCGGATGCTATAGACATCCCGACCCCGTGCTCTTACGCTGAGGCGATCGCGGGCCCCTACTCCTCTCAGTGGCAGACAGCCATGGACGCAGAGATGGCATCCTGGAAGTCCACAGGCACTTACGTCGATGAGGTTCCCCCTCCTGGGGCGAACATCGTCGATGGCATGTGGATTTTCAGGGTGAAGCGGCCGCCAGGTTCTCCGCCTGTCTTCAAGGCTCGTTACGTTGCTCGAGGCTTCAGTCAGCGAGAGGGAGTCGACTTCTTCCATACCTTCTCCCCCACCCCAAAGATGACCACTCTTCGGGTGCTGCTGCACGTTGCCACTCAGCGTGACTACGAGCTTCACTCACTGGACTTCAGCACAGCCTTCTTACAGGGCAGCCTTAGATCTGGCCCCGCCGCCCACCTGGCTTCACTGGGTCGTTCCCGCCTGGTACCCAGTGGAGCCTCCGGCGGCCAGTCTACGGTCTTCGCCAGGCGCCTCGTGAGTGGCACGATACACTGAGGACGACACTTGCGGCTCTTGGGTTTGCTCCTTCGACTGCTGACCCGTCGCTGTTTCTGCGCACCGACACTTCGCTGCCGCCGTTCTACATCCTCGTGTACGTCGACGACTTGGTCTTTGCCACTACTGACACTGAGGCTCTCGCCCTGGTAAAGTCGGAGCTGCAGAAGAGACACACGTGCACAGACCTGGGTGAGCTGCGCAGCTACCTTGGCTTGCAGATCACCCGGGACAGAGCACGCCGCACCATCACTCTGACTCAGTCACACATGGTGCAGCAGGTCCTTCAGCGCTTCGGCTTCACCTGGTCCTCGCCACAGTCCACTCCTCTGGCTACAGGTCACTCGCTCTTAGCTCCACCTTCGGACGAGTCCGTAGAGCCGAGTGGTCCTTACCCAGAGTTAGTGGGCTGCCTCATGTACCTAATGACCTGCACTCGTCCTGACCTTGCGTACCCTCTTGGCCTTCTGGCCCGTTACGTGGCTCCTGGTAGACACCGAAAGGTGCACTGGGATGCTGCGAAGAGGGTACTGCGCTACTTGTGCAGTACGTCGGGCATGGGGCTCGTGCTTGGAGGGCAGAGAGACGTGGTTCTCACTGGGCACTCGGACGCTTCTTGGGTTGACGACCAGGCTACGCAGCGGTCGTCACAGGGTTACACTTTCAGCCTTGGCTCTGGTTCTGTTTCTTGGCGTTCTACTCACTCGTCTTCTGTTCTCAGCTCCAGTTGTGAGGCTGAGATCTACGCCACAGCCATGGCTGCACAGGAGTTACGCTGGCTCACTTACCTGCTGACTGACCTGGGAGAGCGGCCTCGTTCTCCTCCAGTGCTGTACGTGGACAACAAGGCCGCCATTGCCTTGTGCGAGGAGCACAGACTGGAGCACAGAACGAAGCACATCGCTCTGCGTTACTTCCTGGCTCGAGAGCTGCAGCAGCGGGGTCAGCTTCGCCTTGCTCACGTGGCCACCCGGGCCAACACAGCTGATATATTCACCAAGGCGCTTTCGTCTGGTGATCATCAGCGCTTTTGTACCCTGTTAGGCCTTGTACCTACGTTTCCACACTTGCTGTAGACTCTGCTTGTACTGTGATCTCTATATATATACCTGCATGCTTGTGCTGTTCTTGTTGCATATATAATTCTGCATGTGAACTGGCCTTCTGGCCCTTTGCTTGTGCTCAGAGTGTGTGGTGACGTTGTGATCCACCCTGAGCTTGCTTTGCTTCTCTAGACTGGTCTTGTGACCCATTGTTCTCCCCCACTTTGCCTATGGGGGTGTGTCAAACTATATATGTTATACTTGTGTAGGCTGTAGTGGGGTAGCCAATATGGGGTACAACCCCTCTAGGGTTTGCTACTTGTACCCAACCTTCTTTCAATGCAATCATTCTTGCCTAGACATTCTAACATGAGCAACAAGACTAGCGGCGTAGTCGAGACGACAAGCAGCAGCAAAGTCAACAAGCTCAGCAACCAAGGCAGACGCAGCAGCAGACTCAAAGGAAGGGTTAGTGACAACAGTAGCCAAGAGACGTGTGATAGTCGGGTGAGCAGCACGAACCAGGTCAGACGCAGGGTGGAAGACGGAGGAGGAGGAGGAGCAGGGGACGGCTCACACATCCGCCACCCACATACCCGCCACCCCCATACCCCCAACGCAGGCGGCGCGCGCGCGGCGCGGGGCAGATACGCGGGCAGCAGCTGGGGCGGCGTGCGAGCGGAAGCGGGGCGGCGCGCGGGTCCCTGGGGCGCTGCGACGGGCGACGGGCAAGGCGGCGCGCGGGCCCCCAGGGCGCCGCGACGGGCGACGGGAGGGGGGCGACGCGCCGTCCCCCATGGCGCCGCAACGGGCGACGGGCAGGGCGGCGCGCGGGCCCCCAGGGCGCCGCGACGGGCGACGGGAGGGGGCGACGCGCGGGCCCCCAGGGCGCCGCAACGGGTGACGGGAGGGGACAGCACGGGGGCCCCTAGGGTGCCGCGACGGGAGATGAAACCGCTGCGCGCGCCTGGGGCGCACGGCGGGCAGGAAACCGCCATGCGCCCCGAGCGTGTGGCGAGCAGAAAACCGCCACGCGCCCCGGTGCGCGCGACAGTCAGGACAGCAGCGGAAGCAGGTGGGCCCACAAGCCAGGAGCGTTCTCGCTCTGATAGCATGTCGAAACTAACAAGCAGGAATGACTGCATTGAATGAAATGTGGGTACAAGTACTAACCCTAACTTTGGGTTGTACCCCATATGGGCTACCCCACTATAGCCTACACAGAACTAACACATATATAGTTTGACAGACATTGGTCAACCAGGGTTGACCCGACCATCGCGGTTTGAAGCTACAAAGATTTTTTGAGAGATGTTGACACACCTGCAGCGTACAATTGTCATCCGCTTCCCTTGCAGGCTGGGCTAATTGAGGCGAGAGTCGACAACTCGCCGGGCCTTTTGCAACTCAGTCACCTTGCATCGTTGGATCTGTCATTTATACAACAAACAATCAAGCGTTTTGCGACATATTGAATATTGTTAGCTGAAGTAACCCACCGCAACCTGATTACGTCGAGTTATGTCAGATTAGTCAACCCAACTGTGTCGATCCGGGTCGGGCGGTCCCAACCAGGCCCGGTCGGCTCGACCTGGTCGGCTAAACCCGTCGATTTCTAAGTCCACCAAAGTTTGCCAAGCGTCTAACTCTTAAAAAATCGCATAACAAGGCAATATCTACTCTAGTGTTGTTCGACTAAATTGGAGAATGTCTCCCCCATGACTTGTAGGGAACATCAAGGGATTACAATACTGGTACGACATACATCCGCTAAAGCTCTGCATCCACCAAACGCATTGATGAGGAACTCCTTGTAGATCGACATGACCTTGGCAGCGAAGGCTGCATGGGTGAAACACAGTAAAGGGGAGGGAGGGTGGAAAGGGGGGAAGGTTGCGGAGAGGGGAGCGGGGGGTTAAGGTGGGGTTTGAGTTTGTTCAAAACATAGAAGCGGCTAAGAAGAGGGAATCACATGACGGGACGAAGATGCCATTCATGACTCAACGAGTGGGCAGAGCATGGGAGGGGTTGGATTGAAAGATGGAGCAGCTGCAGTTCGAGAGGGGCCAGGCGAATGTAATCCAGGCATGATTCACACGGTCGATGGATGTGGTGAGGTGAAAGATTTGTCACACGATGAGCATCTATGCTTAGGCGGATGCAGAAGAATGGAGACCAGTGATGGAACTTTGTGTGTGCGCCAGTTTGGGTTAACCGGGCTTTGGAATGTGCTGCAAGCAGCATACCTTCTAGGTGGAATATCGACTTCTGCCCCAGATGCAACCGGTGCTCCTGCTCATGCACCCACCCACCCACACACACAAAGGCGTGCAAATGGCCATCAACGTACCGTACTGCCATACGTGTGATGCATTGTAAGCATTGAAAAGATTGAGAGGATTGTAATCCCATGCCTCCACTCGACCACGAGCAGCAACCCCACTTAGCATGATGCCCCTTGCACGACAGACTGCGGTAAGACGTTCTTGCAGTAAACGGATGAGGCCATTCAAGGGAGTTGCCATCAGCCAGGATAGAGCCCCCAACCCCACTGCTCTTCCCACCCACCCACCCACCCACCAGCCTTCCGTTCCTCAAAACACGCACATCAAGGGTGGTCAGGAACATGCCTCAAGCATGAGCTGTGATCCAAAGCAACAGCACGCCCACCAATGACCACCCATCAGTGACCACACATCAGTGACCACCCATCAGTGACCACCCATCAGTGACCACCCATCAGTGACCACCCATCAGTGACCACCCATCAGTGACCACCCATCAGTGACCACCCATCAGTGACCACCCATCAGTGACCACCCATCAGTGACCACCCATCAGTGACCACCCATCAGTGACCACCCATCAGTGACCACCCATCAGTGACCACCCATCAGTGACCACACATCAGTGACCACCCATCAGTGACCACCCATTAGTGACCACCCATCAGTGACCACCCATCAGTGACCACCCATCAGTGACCACCCATCAGTGACCACCCATCAGTGACCACCCATCAGTGACCACCCATCAGTGACCACCATTACCCTCTGATTACCATAAGCATCACCATCACCATCACCACCACCATCACCATCACCATCACCACCACCATCACCATCACCATTCCCATCACCACCACCCCCACCCCCACCCTCACCCTCACCCTCACCCTCACCCTCACCCTCACCCTCAATCTCCCCTCACCCGTGTCCTCATAAACACGTAAAACAGGGTCCAGTGACCCAGACCGTGCTCAGACCGTGCTCAAGCTTTTGACTGGAAATCCACACCAGCTACATCTCAACCCCTGGTTCCTTCCCTCTTGGTCCCCATCCCACTCCTTCCTCCCCTCGTGTTTCCTTCCCTTGATCCCGCCTCCCATCCCTCCTTCCTCCTATCTCACCCGCCGCCCTCCCTCCTACCCCCCCTCGCCCCGCTGCCATGCAGCACGCACGCACATAGAAGGCGGCCCAGTGGCACACGTCGTGCTTCAGCTCCGCATCCATCTTGCGCATCAGCTCCACTGTCAGGCGCTGGGGGGAGGGCGGGATGGAGGGGGGGCGGGATGGTGAAGCAGAGGTGGAAGATATGTGAGTGGGAGCGGATGAAGCTGTGAGCTCCGCATCCATCTTGCGCATCAGCTCCACTGTCAGGCGCTGGGGGGAGGGCGGGATGGAGGGGGGGCGGGATGGTGAAGCAGAGGTGGAAGATATGTGAGTGGGGGCGGATGAAGCTGTGAGCTCCGCATCCATCTTGCGCATCAGCTCCACTGTCAGGCGCTGGGGGGAGGGCGGGATGGAGGGGGGGCGGGATGGTGAAGCAGAGGTGGAAGATATGTGAGTGGGGGCGGATGAAGCTGTGAGCTCCGCATCCATCTTGCGCATCAGCTCCACTGTCAGGCGCTGGGGGGAGGGCGGGATGGAGGGGGGGCGGGATGGTGAAGCAGAGGTGGAAGATATGTGAGTGGGGGCGGATGAAGCTGTGAGCTCCGCATCCATCTTGCGCATCAGCTCCACTGTCAGGCGCTGGGGGGAGGGCGGGATGGAGGGGGGGCGGGATGGTGAAGCAGAGGTGGAAGATATGTGAGTGGGGGCGGATGAAGCTGTGAGCTCCGCATCCATCTTGCGCATCAACTCCACTGTCAGGCGCTCGGGGGTGGGGGTTTGGGAAGGGGGAAAGGGAGAAGGCGGGAGGAAGAAGAGGGGGAAGTCATGTGAGAGAAGGGAAGGTCGTGAGCGCCATCTAGCGCATCAGCTCCACTGTCAGACGGTGGGGGTGAGTGGAGAGCAATTGGTGGTTGATGGCCTTTGAGTCGACTCAAAAGTCACCTCAGGCACTTGGAGCCTACAAACTATGGCCTAGGCACTTGATCAGATGGGTGTTGAGCCATGGGTGTAGAGGGTTACCTTGAGGATGAGGTGCGGTGGGATGCAGTTGATTAGAAGGTCGTAGAACTTGGCTCGTATTTGAAACAGCCTGGTGTGTGGGGTACAGGGGAGAGAGGGCAAGGCAGTGGCGGAGGGAGGAGAGGGCAAGGCAGTGGCGGAGGGAGGAGAGGGCAAGGCAGTGGCGGAGGGAGGAGAGGGCAAGGCAGTGGCGGAGGGAGGAGAGGGCAAGGCAGTGGCGGAGGGAGGAGAGGGCAAGGCAGTGGCGGAGGGAGGAGAGGGCAGCAACCGTCTGAAGAGAGAGGGTGTAGAGGAGATCATTTTTTAAAGTTATCAAAAGTGATTTCAACATGGCCATCTGAAGAGAGAGGGTGTGGAGGAGGGAGAGTATAAAAGAGGCGCGGATATGGCGTGAGGTGGAGTGAGGGCGAGTGAAGATGGAAAAGCATGAGGAGGGGGTAGCAGAAAGGGAGAAGTTTTGGATCCTCAATTCTTGCTTCTTCACGCTTCCACACTCTACAAGACGATACGCATGCAGTCATTCCCTGTCGTCTCGCAACATGATGGTCCCACTCAATCCCTCCTCACCCTCCCACCACCCTCCCACCTGTGCCTCACCGGCGGGGGATCTGATCGCTGATGATGTCAGCAGCGATCTCTGCCACACAGAGCTCCCAATCGTTCTGCTGCACCACCCTTCCACCCTCTCTTCCCCTTTCCACCCTCTCTTCCCCCTTCCATCCTTCCCCCTCCCACACATGCCTCACCGGCGGGGGCTCTGTTCGCTGATGATGTCAGCAGCGATCTCAGCCACACAGAGCTCCCAGTTGTTCTGCTGCACCAGTTGATTGTCGCTGAAGGGGTAGCTGCGCGCATGCAGAATGGGGGAGAATGATGAGAGGGAGTGAGTTGGAGCACAGGGCGTTGCGGTGTGCTGCAGGAGTTGACTTTTGAGTCGACTCAAAAGTCAACTCAGCAGCGATCTCAGCCACACAGACCTCCCAGTTGTTCTGCTGCACCGGTTGATTGTCATTGAATGAGTAGCTGCGCGCATGTGGTGCGGGAGTGAAGGGTGAGAGGGATTGAAAAGAAAGGTTGATATGAGAGCTCTCAGTCGTTCTGCTGCACCGGCTGGTTGTTGCTGAAGGGGTAGCTGCGCGCATGTGGTGCGGGAGTGAAGGGAAGCACGGAAAGGGGAGGCATGGCAATGCAGGGGTGACACTATGGAACGGGGTGGGTGAGAGAGGATGAGAGGGCGCCCTTCCGCTTCCCCAGCTGTTTATCACTCAAGGGTAGTTGTGTGCATGGGGAAGTGGCGGCAGTATGGGACAGTGGCGGCAGTATGGGACAGTGGCGGCAGTATGGGACAGTGGCGGCAGCATGGGACAGTGGTGGCAGCATGGGACAGTGGCGGCAGCATGGGACAGTGGCGGCAGCATGGGACAGTGGCGGCAGCATGGGACAGTGGCGGCAGCATGGGACGGGTGGGAAAGAGGTGCGAGGGCAGCACGACCATGGGCACTGGGGAGTGGAGCGCAGGCAGGCAGGGGACTCACTGGACGGCCTTGGCAGCCTCGAGCGACAGCAGTGCCTTGCGCAGGTTGCGGTTGCTGCTCACCGCCATCCGCCCCGCCAGCACGGGCGGTAAGGTCACGCCCTCCTTGCCTGCCACCTCCTGCAGCACGTCCACTATCTGCCGAGAAATGGGTAAGGAGGGGCGTGATGGGAAGGGGTTGCGGACAGGGGTTTGTAGTGAGTCGACCCACAACAGCCCTGCCAGCACAGCGGTAGGCTGACGTCCTTTCTTGCCACTCCTTTCTCGCTCCTTGCTTGTATTATAGAGCCTCTTGGCTCATTACCTAAAACAACTCATCAAGTTCTAACAAGGCGGGGTGGGGGAACACACAGTAATTGGGGGAACATGAAGGATATCGGGGCACAGAGAGCAACTAGGATTACTTTGGTGAGTGTGAGTGTGTGTGAGTGAGTGTGAGTGTGTGTGAGTGAGTGTGAGTGAGTGTGAGTGTGTGTGTATGCAGGGTGCATATGGGTGAGAGGGGCACACCTGGTCGTGAGAGGGAGCAGCGATGCGGAGGTTGAGACATCGCGAGCGAAGAGCCTCCGTGACCTAAGGGTGCAAGGAAGCAACGTAGCAAGGCGGCAAGGCAGCAGAGAAAGCCAATTGAGATGATTCAGAAAGACGCCGTCAGGGAGAATAGACTGCCTGTCACTGCCGTCAGGGAGAATAGACTGCCTGTCACTGCCGTCAGGGAGAATAGACTGCCTGTCACTGCCGTCAGGGAGAATAGACTGCCTGTCACTGCCGTCAGGGAGAATAGACTGCCTGTAACTGCCGTCAGGGAGAATAGACTGCCTGTCACTGCCGTCAGGGAGAATAGACTGCCTGTCACTGCCGTCAGGGAGAATAGACTGCCTGTCACTGCCGTCAGGGAGAATAGACTGCCTGTCACTGCCGTCAGGGAGAATAGACTGCCTGTAACTGCCGTCAGGGAGAATAGACTGCCTGTCACTGCCGTCAGGGAGAATAGACTGCCTGTCACTGCCGTCAGGGAGAATAGACTGCCTGTCACTGCCGTCAGGGAGAATAGACTGCCTGTCACTGCCGTCAGGGAGAATAGACTGCCTGTCACTGCCGTCAGGGAGAATAGACTGCCTGTCACTGCCGTCAGGGAGAATAGACTGCCTGTCACTGCCGTCAGGGAGAATAGACTGCCTGTCACTGCCGTCAGGGAGAATAGACTGCCTGTCACTGCCGTCAGGGAGAATAGACTGCCTGTCACTGCCGTCAGGGAGAATAGACTGCCTGTCACTGCCGTCAGGGAGAATAGACTGCCTGTCACTGCCGTCAGGGAGAATAGACTGCCTGTCACTGCCGTCAGGGAGAATAGACTGCCTGTCACTGCCGTCAGGGAGAATAGACTGCCTGCCACTGCCGTCAGGGAGAATAGACTGCCTGTCACTGCCGTCAGGGAGAATAGACTGCCTGTCACTGCCGTCAGGGAGAATACACTGCCTGTCACTGCCGTCAGGGAGAATAGACTGCCTGTCACTGCCGTCAGGGAGAATAGACTGCCTGTCACTGCCGTCAGGGAGAATAGACTGCCTGTCACTGCCGTCAGGGAGAATAGACTGCCTGTCACTGCCGTCAGGGAGAATAGACTGCCTGCCACTGCCGTCAGGGAGAATAGACTGCCTGTCACTGCCGTCAGGGAGAATAGACTGCCTGTCACTGCCGTCAGGGAGAATAGACTGCCTGTCACTGCCGTCAGGGAGAATAGACTGCCTGTCACTGCCGTCAGGGAGAATAGACTGCCTGTCACTGCCGTCAGGGAGAATAGACTGCCTGTCACTGCCGTCAGGGAGAATAGACTGCCTGTCACTGCCGTCAGGGAGAATAGACTGCCTGTCACTGCCGTCAGGGAGAATAGACTGCCTGTCACTGCCGTCAGGGAGAATAGACTGCCTGTCACTGCCGTCAGGGAGAATAGACTGCCTGTCACTGCGTAGAGGATCACGAGTGCACGTGGGCTACAATGGTGGTCAAGTCAGAAAGAACAAGTCCAGTCAACTCTAGTCAACTAAAGTCAAATCAATCATTCCAAGTCAAGCTTGCATGCCCCGTGAGCAGAAAGAGCAGCATATGGCACTGCAGCCAGCAGCCGTGCATTGCATTGCTCCACCATACGGCGCAGCGCAGCATGCTCTGAGGCGTTCAACAATCTGTAAGTGCCTCACTGCCCACCTCACCTGAGAGGCGGAGGAGCAGCACATGACGATGCGGCATGCGGCAGTGTAGCGCTCCATGGTTCGCCGTAGGGCATGCTGTGCCTCCCTGCTCAGATGGTCCACCTCGTTCAGCACCAGCACTGCTCGGGGGAGGGGGAAGGTGGATTGGGGGGGAGAGGGAGAGGGAGGAAGGGAAAGAGTGGAGAGCACAGGAGAGGGGAGGGAGAGCGTGCTGTGCCTCCCTGCTCAGATGGTCCACCTCGCTCAGCACCAGCACTGCTTGGTGGGGAGGGGGAAGAAGAGGAAAGGAGGGAGAGAGTGGAGAGAGAAAAAAGGGTGAGGAGGAAGGGATGAAGACAAAGGCATGCTGTGCCGTTCTGTTCACGTGGAAAGGATGGGAGGGAGAAGGGACAAAGAAAAGAATGGAAAGAGAGAGGGCGGTGGGTGGTGAACGGCACTGAGAGTGTGTGTGTGTGTGTGTGTGTGTGTGTGTGTGCGTGCAAGGAGCAACAAGACAGATGGGGCGGCTGTGCACCACCCTCACGCCCCCCTTCCCCTCCACCCCTCAATATCAACCAGAGCCATGTTGGTGTTACCTTTGAGAACTCTCAAAAGTCACAACTTCATCAATGAACCAGACCCATCGTGACGCACCTTTGAAAGCTGTGGTTTCCCTTGGAGGAGACGATGGGCCTGTTGCGCACCATGTCCTTGATCATCTCCTGTTCTGCCCCACGTAGCACTCATGAAAGCCCTATGAGTGGGCCCAAAACCCAACCCCACACGCACTTTTGAAGCTGCGGTTGCCTTTGCTGTCAATGGGGTGGGCGGTTACATGCCGTGTCTTTGATTATCTCCTGCACCACATAGCGATCCAGGAAGCCTGCATCCAACTTCATTGCCACTACCCAACAACGAGCCACAACCCCCCCCCTTTCTTCCACACCTCCCCCAACACCACCCAGAGCCACAACCCCATCAAAGGGCCACACCCATCACCACCCCCCCATCCCCGTCCCCTCCGCCCTCACACACACACACACACCCGCCCTGCACAATGCGCGGCACACCTTTGAAGCTTCTGTTGCCCTTGCTGTCAATGGGTCGATTCCGCGCCATGTCCTTGATGATCTCCTGCACCACATATCGGTCCTGGAAGCCTGCATCGCTGGGACTCAGCTCCACGTGGTGGTTGCTCGCCACCGTCGTCAGCTCCACCTCCAGCTTGCGCGTGCCTGCCTGCCAGGCAAGGCAGTAGATGTGACGGGTTACTAAGTTACTACAGGTTACATTGATGGGTTCCCATTCACCACCTGGCAGACAAGAGATGTAACTTGGTTGGGGGGGGCATGGCATGCAGAAGAGGGCAGGTGAGGAGAGGGGCATCTGAAACGACTCATAAGCTGCCATAACTAAATGGGTGAGTGAGACACACAAGGCAAACAAGCTGGGGGATCGAGTGGTGCGTACCTCAATCTTCCACGGCTTGTTCTCTACTTTCACCTGCACACACACACACACATGCACGCACCAACACACATGCATGCTCGCACACGCACACACACACATACACGCACACATACATGCATGCACGCACACGCAGACGCGCATGCGCGCGCGCACACACACACATACTCTCATCATTCACACACATGCATGAACACATGCATGCAAAAACCAAAAAACATATGGGCACAGATAAATAGCGTTATGAGGTCTCAACAAACACAACGCCACCAGTTCAGAGCGTCCCTCTCGTTTGCTTAACGGCTTGCCATCCCCACACCCCCCCTCAGCCCCCACGTCAAGCCCACAGCTGACAGGTCCTGCCGCGCAAGTAGACGCAATCAATAGGTTGTTTTGGAGGCGCCTCAAAAATAGACAGGTGACACCTGACAGATCATCAAGTATGTGGACGCAATCGATAGGGTGTTCACCACCGCTCGTTCTGGAAGATGAAGCGTTTCCATCAACCCTTCACAGCGTCCTCATTTCACTCTCCCTCTTTCCCCTCGCCCTCCTGCTCTCCCAACCGTTCCCCACACCTTCTCGGACCCTCCCTCCCTACCCCACGCCCCCACCCCACCTTACCAGCGCTGGTCCCAAGCCACCTCTCACAGCAGCGCACAGCCAATGCCCCGATACTCACCGCCCCAACATGGCCCAAACGTGGCCCGGCCCAACTCTTCCCCCAACCCCCCCCTTTGCCCTGCCCCCCACCTTATCAGCCCAAGGGCCGAACATATCGCGCAGCAGCACACAGGCAGCCAGTTCCCCCTCACTCCCCATATGCCCCAAATGCTGTCCCAATCCCTTCCCCACCCCTCACCCTCTCCCTCTTCCCCCCCACCTCACCTTATCAGCCCCGGCCCCCAGGGCCGAACATCTCGCGCAGCAGTGCGAGCACGAGAGACTTCTTTCCCGCACCAGCACACAGCACACAGCACACAGCACACAGCACACAGCACACAGCACACAGCACACAGCACACAGCCAGTCCCTCGTTGAGAACAGCCAGCAACTCCCCAACATCGCCCACACGCCATCCCCAAACCCCATCCCATCCCCTCCCTACCCCCACTTTCCCCCACCTCACCTTATCAGCCTTGGGGCCGAACATCTCGCACAGCAGCGCGCAGCCATTGCCTCCATACTTCCCCCATTCTCCCCTCCCCCTCCACTCCCCATTTCCCACTTCTCCCCGCCCCACCTCACCTTATCAGCCCCGGGGCCGAACATCTCGCGCAGCAGCGCGAGCACGAGCGTCTTCTTGCCCGCGCCTGACGGGCCGAACAGCAGCAGGTGCGGGCAGTCGCCCGCTTGCACCTGCACCCAAGGGGGGAACGAGGGTTGGTGTGCGGCGAGTGGGGAGGGGGGGCGAGATATGTATTATTGTGGCTGGACGAGCCTAGGCGGGGACGGGCGTGGAGGAGAAACACACAGCCATCCTCGTGGCTTTTCCTGACGGACCGAACAGCAGCAGATGCGGGTAGTCACCTGCTTGCACCTGCACCGGGGGGGGGGGGGGAGCAGGGAGGGGGGAGGGGAGGAGGAAGGGGGGGTACGGGGGGAAGGGGGTCGAGGCATGTGCTATTGTGGCTCGAGGAGCCCGGAGGGGAGGGGAGAAGGCCCGCAGGCGTCCTCGTGCCTTGGCCTGACTGGCGGAAAAGCAGCAAATGGGGGCAGTCGCCCGCGCGGAGGAGCGGAGGATGGGGATAGGAGGGGAGGAGGGGGCGGAGGAGCGGGGGGGAAGGGAAGAAGGGGAGGGGGGGTGGGGGGATTTAGACATATATTCTGGATCGAGGACTCTCGAGGGGACGAGACATGCAGGTCCCGCGCGACATTGGAGATCGAACAGCACAGCAGCAGATGAGCGGCAGTCGTGCGACTTGGCGTGTGGCTTGGGAGCGGGAGGGGGGTGGAAGGAGGCGAAGAGGGGCGAGCAGGTGGGTCAAGAAGTCCGAATCAGTGCTTGCGCGTGTGAATGAGCGGAAGAAGCACCCCCTTGTGCAGGGAGGGGTGCTGCAGGGACACCGGCAACACCAGCTGTTCCTGTGCGCTAACCACCCCGTTAACGTTGCTGTGCGCTACCCACCAGCTGCTTCAGCTGTAAAGCCGTGTCGCGGTGAACAGTGATTTTGTCCAGCGTGGCTGGCCGGTGCTTGTCCACCCATAGCATTCTGACACGTTCGCCACCGCGACTAACGGAAGAATCGGTAACTGATCAAGTGTTCCCAGATCGCGACGAGACTTCTGGAACTAGCGCAGACTGGAGGGAAACGCGCTGTTGTAGAGCCGAAGCCCTTGCTTGTAGTTTTGTGTGTAGTACGGTTTCAGGAGGCGCCGCATGCGAGGCTAGTGCTAGTCGGTGAGGAGGGGGTAACGTGAGTAACGTGTTCTGTCAAAATCCCCCGCTCCTTTTTGCAAGGCTTTGCGTCGGTGAGGAGGAGGGGGTAACACGTTACTCACGTTACCCCCTCCTACTCACCGACTAGCACTAGCCTCGCATGCGGCAATTAGTGGTTTGGCGATAGGGATATCCAGCTTCGCTAATACTGAAATTCCGTTTGTCAGCAATTGCCGAAAGAACAGCAGAAATTCGTGATGCAGTTCGATCTTCGGCGTTTCAATCCGGCTGTCACGTGATACAGACCTAAGCACTTCAACCTGCACCAGCTCGAGCAAGGACGGACCATTGATGTTGTAATGTGTTTTACGAACAGTTACACAAAAATCTCATCACAACACAATGTCTGTCCTTTTCTCATCAACACAATGTCTGTCCTTTTCTCATCAACACAATGTCTGTCCTTTTCTCATCAACACAATGTCTGTCCTTTTCTCATCGATCGAAAGCAGGCTTTGTTGACGCTGATGGAACTAAACCGATTACTTTGTGGCTCGAGCTGATATCGCGACCCGGGCTTCCCAATTCGAACCAACCGTGCACCCACAGGAGGACTAAGCAGTGCACTTCACCAACTGCAGCAATGGTTCTCAGAGTGAGATCGTGGCAGGCAAACCATCTCAATGCCCATTGCTTCTAGTGCGTGCACCAGCTTCATTCTGGCATGCCCAAGGAGAAAAAAATCGTTTCTTGTTGCAGCATCACGCAAGACAGGAAGCAGCAGACAGAGGAGCCGAAAGAGGTGATGGGCAAATGGTGGAATGAGGTTGAATATCATGGATGGAGGATCGGGGAGAAGGCTCAAGTGGCCAGCATACAAGGGCGGAGGAAGAGGATGATGAGGAGAAAGGGGGAGAGCAGGAGGTGGATGCACTGATAATGATGATGCAGTAGAGACAGGAGGAAACTGCTGTCCTGCATCGCCATGCACGTTCCACGTGTTGGAGGCCTGCGGGTACAGCAGAGCTCGTGTGCAGAGAGTGTCAAAGAAGCTGCAGGGCGAGGTGGCCATGAGGGGGTTCCCCTTCAAGCTACCAAACCGTTCCTTGCGATATGGGAGATTGTCGGGAGCACTGGAGGCGTTGACTATAGACAGAAGCAGCCGCTGTGTGATTCTCCACACCTCGTCCTTCGAGAGCCTGATCATCTCCTCCCAGCATGCTCCATGCGGCACTGCAACGACCGTCCCTTGCACTGCTCCATGCCCCATCGCTTCCCCACTCATGACCCCCACCACACCCTCTCCTTCAACCCCCTCTCCCTCACCCCCTTTGTCCCCGCTACAGCTCCCACCACACACGCCTCCTCCCCTCCCCTCACCTCCATGACAACCACTTCCGTCTCCAGTATTTCCAGCTCCCTTCTCCTGCAAGACCGCCGGCAGATCATCTGGCAGCTGAAGCAGGGCTGTGAGGGCAGACTTGAGGCGAAGGAGTGAGGGATGGGGGCGGCCAGGCAGGCGAGAGTGCGTGGAGGGACGAGGAGGTGGGTGAACGAGGAGGGAGGTGAGGAGGTTGTGAGAGGGAGTGAGAGAGCAGGGTTGGAAGAAGGCAGAGGGAAAGGAGGAGAGTGTGGCAGAAGGGAGCAGAGAGAGAAAGGGTTCAGAGAGGAGGAACAAAGCGCCAAGGGAGGTGGGTAGCAGAGGTGTTCTCGAAAACAGTGCCTGATGGCGTGTGGGCAATTCTGCAGGCGGAGGGGGCACATGATGCTTGCACGTGAGCATGGAAGCCTGCCAAAGCCATGTCAGTGCACGCACCGGGGGAGAGGGACACGAGAGAGTGGGTTCGTGGAGCAGCCTTTTGAGATGTCCCGAAAGGAAGGGCTTGCTTAGAATAGAAACACAAGTTGATGTTGGGAATACAGCCGCAGTCGTAAGAAAAGCAGGGAACATTGGGAGAACAAACTACACAGCATAATTATGACGTGCTAATGATGTTGCACCAGAGGCCAGGCGACTGGCCACACATTAGCTCAGTCAAATTTATAACACAACATAGAAAGGACAACCTTGTCGCATGCCATGTTCATGTAGCTCCAACCTTGTTCATGAGTGCAGAGGAGCACGTCACAACCCCATCGCACACCACTCGCTTCGTATCCGCCAGTCGCTTCTCGTATTCCTTCTCCCACGCTTCTTTCACCGCCTTCACTGCTTGTTTCCCCTCCATCTTCCCACTCCGCCCTGTGGTGGACAGCCTTTCTGCCTTCTCTCCACGCGCCCACGCCAACCCAAAGTCGTCAATCTGGCACGAGCGGGAAGACGAGGAGGAGGACGAGGAGGAGGAGGGGGAGACAATGTGGCGGTGGAAGGCGGTGGAGAGGAGGGAGAAGGCGGCGTGCAGGCGGGGCAAGTGGCAGTCTGCTTCAAGCATGGAGTGGTTGTGGAGATGGCACAGGGCGGGCAGGAGGGCCGCTAGCCTGCGAGCCCACCGCCACCACCACAGGGCCACCTTGTGATGGAGATGGGCGATGGACGGCGCGGGAAGAGTGCACTGCTGCAGTGCCGCTGCTGCTGGCCCTGATCGTTCGCCAACACGATTGGCTGACGCAGCCGTTGATGCAGCTACTGCTGCTATTGCGTTGGCAGCTGTGATGGTTCCTGCAACAGCAGACTCGGGCGCATGGGCAGCAGGAGGGGGGCAGGAGTGACTGCTGCACAGCTCAGCTGGGATGTGCTCCACGCAGTGCAGCAGGCAGCGCTGCCCCCACTGCAGCAAGCTGAGGGACTCCTGTAGCCCAGTGTATGCGAGCATCACCTCGGCTCGCAGCTGCTCCGCTCCCTTCCACTGCACCTGCCCCTTCTGCTCACCACCCCTGCTGTCCCTCTGCTCCCTCTGTGCCATGCCGCTGCTCTCTGCCCGCCTCTCTCGCCGCACCTGCTCCGCGCCCTTCCGCAGCACGTCACCCCCGTCCCACAGCTCCTCCGCCTCCCTCAACTCCTCCTGGCACAACGTGCCCCTGCCCCTCCATGCCCCAGATCCCGCTCTCTCCACTGCTCGCAGCAGCCCTTTGTGGGCCTACCGGTATGCCTCTCTACATGCGTACTCCTGGAAGCAGCTGACCGCTGCTTACCATCGTCCACGCTTGTGACATGCGAGCCTCCGTCTCTGCATTCGTTGCTCTGCCCAGCTCCACACAAGATGCACACACGCCCGTGTTTCCCGCCCTGTGCTCTGCAGCTCCTGCCGCGCGCATACCCGGAAAACCCGCTCTTCTCTCACCAGCACCACCACAAGCAAGGGTTGCAGCACCATCAGCAGCATCAGCATGAGAATCAAGCTCAAGCACGAACAGCAGCACACTCATCTCCACCTTGGCCCACGCCAGATCGCACCCCTCACACTGCGCCCTGTCTGCATACTCCAGCCTCTCCGTCTCAACGCCCCGCAGCCGCCCACCCATCTCCGCCTCTTCCCTACTCAGCGCTACGCCCCTCCTCCCCCCCTCGCTATTGCCACCTTCCCCCCTCCTCATCCCGACCCGCCACGCCCCCCGCCCCGCCGCATTCACCCGCCACTGAAGGTGCCGCACAAACGCCACCAGGGCCCGGCCCGGCCATCCCTGATCCCACAAGTGGACTGATGCCTCCAACAGCATGCCTGCTCTCACGAGTACCCCCGGCACTCGCTGCACGTCGCCCTCCCGCTCCTCAAGCCCTGCCAGCTCCCTCAGGTGCCGCTCGCTGTCTAGGAACGCGCGCTTGGCGTGCAAGCCCGGCAGCAGGTGCACGAACGCCATCATCTCGCCGAACTCGCCTCGCTCTCCCAGCCGCCGGGCACATTCCTCCACGTACCAACGCCTCAGGTGGGTCACGCCACCACCACTCCTTGGCCCCACTGATGCCGGGCTGGATTCGTTTCCCCGGTGAGACTCCAGTGCCTGCCAGGCGTCCAGCAGTGAGAGGCCCTTGGTGAAGATGCTGCCGCGCAGGCAGGTAGAGAGGGCGCTGGGTCTGTCGCCCAAGGCGCTGTGGCAGTCAGCTGCTTCGGCGAACCTGCGTAGCTTCTCGTAGCACCGGGCAGCGTTGGCGTGGTCAGGAGGCCGGCAGAGCGTGAGATACGCACGTGCTGGTTGGAGGGGCGGGAGAGTTCACAAAACCGTAATTGGAGGTTGGGAAATGAGACTACAGGATTGCCCCTGTGGACAGGCATGACATGGATGGCAAACGTGGAAAGATGTGAATGCTGGATGAGAAATAGCACAGCACATGCCAGTGCTCCTATGAGCGTTGCGATGCGCTCTGTACGCTCCTACAATGTACTGCCTGCTCTGCTCTGTGCGCCCACTCACTCATCCTGGCACATGCCCCACCCACACCTTCACCGCCCCATGCATAAATGAATCAAACAACTCCTACCTGCTTCCTCGTAGCACCCAGCCTTGGCATACGCACGGCCCGCCTCCAAGCCCCTCTTGATGCCCTCAAAACACCGGGCCGCAGCCAGGAGCAGATCCGAGGAGGACAGCACAGAGAGGTCCGGGAGCACTGGGGGCAGCGCAGACGAGGCTGAGAATGCAGAGGAGGCCGACAGGGCTGTGGCGGCAACGGATGGGTGTGGTGGTGGTGGGCCATGTGCTGTGCGCCCCATGCCCGCCTCGTAGTACATGGTGGCTTCTGCAAAGCATGCATTGACCGTGTCCCCCGCCCGCACAAAGCTCGCCCGCGCTGCCTCGTAATCTCCTCTTTGGAAGAACTGCGGGCCATGGGCACACCGTGTTAAAGGTGGGATGTAGCAGGGGCAGAAGTCATGAGGTGACTTTTGAGTAGACCTACAAGTCACCATGGGAACACTGGGTTGAGGGTGTACAAGATATCAAAAGTCACAGCAAGAGGACAGTTGGGAAGGTGGGATGGGGGAGGAGATGACGTTCAAGATATGGGATTTAGCAGAGATAAACACCAAGACGAGCAAAACCACAACTTCTTGCCAGCGCCAATGCTGGCACCCTATACCCAACACAAGCAGCTTACAGTGAAGCCGAGGGCCTTCCAGTCTTTGTCACTGGACACGCGCTTCACTGCCTCCGGGCGCACCTCCCTCTCCTGCTTCTCTGCCACGATGCCCATCGCCACCCACAGGTCCCCCATGGGCGTGCGCTCCCCTGCTCCCCTCTCCTCCAGCACCCACAGCCTCTGCTTGGCCCTCGTTATTGCCACATACAGCTGCTTCAACTCCGAACACAGCGACCAGTGCCTGCAGGACACGGCACGGCATGGCACAGCACGGCACGGCACGGCGCAGCGAGTGATAAAACAGGGCAACAGCGATGAAAGACAGGGAGATGCATCGCAACCACATGAGTCAACTCATGGAGCGAAAATATGCGCACGTATTGGAATTACTACTCGGCCTTCTTGTCTTCTACTCAGCCCGCTTGTTCAGATTCCACCACTACCCCAGATACCCATACAGTACCCTTAACTCTCCACTGAACGTGAGTCCCCATGGCTTGCTGTGGCCGAAGACAAAAATACAGAAGAAATATGTGTAGCAATGGCAGCGGGATCGATTATTGTAAAAACACAGCCGGGTCATTCCACTACCGTGCATGTGCGCCACTACCGTGCATGTGCGCCACGTCAGCCGCGGCGGCGGCGGCAGCGGCGGTGGCAGCAACAGCAGAAGCAGCTGCAGGACACACCTGAGGTCATCCAGGGTGCAAAGAGTGCAGCTGCTACGACCCGTGGTGGCGCAGGCACAAGGCAGCCGGGTGCCGGGGGGAGGAGAGAGGGCAGCGGTGCGCATGTAAGCATACACGAGGTGCCAAGGGGCTGTGGAGTGCGGTGAGGTGAAGAAGTTGAAGAGCAGTACGTCCTGACAAGCAAGGGGCGCGCACACAAGAATGGTAGGAGAGACATGGAAGGTGGAAGAGGAAGAGAAGGCCACTTAGAATTGGCTCTATGCCCTTCTCTGTCACGAGGAAACGTACAGCCCAGCCCATGCTACAAGGCAACCCCCTGTACCAGGAAATCCGTATGCAGGCGTGTGTTATGAGGCAGGGCATTACGAGGAGACACGGCGGTACAAGGAAGGGTGGTTTTAGGCAGCAGCATGGTATGAGGCAGGGTGGTACGAGGCAAGGCATGAGCCCACCTCAAACTCGAGACCCTTGCACTCCTCCACCGTGAGGACCACAGGCTTCAGCCTGAAGTGAGCAGCCAAGGCACTCTTCTCCTCTGCGCTGCGCACTATGATGGCCTGCGTGGTGTGGTGAGGTGTGTCGTGGTGGGAGAGAGAGGTGTGCGGATTCTCATGACTCTCCGACTTCCAAGAAAGGTGAATTCTGAGCTCAGAAAGTCTCTCATTGTGTCACAGGAGGTGGGTTGAATGAAAACAAAGGCTTTTTTTTTAGAATCTAGTTTCAAGAAACAATGTGGCGCTGAAAGGTGGACGCGGTTGAGCGTGAGAGAGAGGTGTATAAACCTGAGTGGCGCTCAGAGGCAAGCCCTGAGCGAGCTGCTGCTTCCACGAGGGGGACACCGCCGCCAGCACCGGCTTTGCCCCTTCCACTGTGCTCAGCTCCTCATGCAGCCGGTCTATGGACCGCGGGAAGAAGCTTTTCAGAAGCTGCACCACGCTGTTTGCGAGGCGCAGCACTCCGTTGTGAGTGCGGTAGTTCCGCACCAGCTGAAACGTGGGGAGGGCTTTTGTCAAACGTTGGCACGCTGCATTGCTGCTGCTGCTGTTGCTGCTGCTGCTGCCGCCGCCGCTAGAATTGGTGATCTTACTCTGGCCCTTGCTGCTCCTCTCCTTCCGCGCCTCTCCTCTCTCCCAGCTTTTTTGGCCACCCTTCCCCGCCTTCAATTCTCCACTTCCCCCCTCACCCCGGCCGCACTCATCCCCTTTATTCAGAAACTCGCTATAGACAACCCTGGCAAGGTCTTCAAAGCGGAAGTCCACGCCATGAGCGATGGACTGAGCCGTGTCGCCCGCGAGCACAAAGCCAGAAGCAACATTGGAGCAGAGCAGCGGCAGCAGAGCAAGCTGTGCCTGAGTGAGGTCCTGCACCTCATCCACCGCCACACACTCAAACACTGCCTGCACCGCCTGCATCGCCTGCACCGGGTGCGATGGGTGCGACGGGTGCGACGGGTGAGATGGGTGAGATGGGTGGCATGTTGGCAACGGCGCATTACCGACGGCGCACCTGCGAGTGGCAACGGCATCCTCCACTGTCCACCACGGCTCGTTGCTTGCTCGCATGCGCCGCACCTCCCGGTGCAGATACCCCACTAGGTCCGCGCAGTCATACTCGCCCTGCCGCATCTTCCTCCTCTCATACGCCCGGAACACATCATACACCGCCTGCCGGTCCGCCCCCCTCATCGCGCTCGTGCGCTCGTTGCTGCCCACCACACCCCCCACGTACTCCTCCTCGCCCACGTGCCCCTGCAGCCACTGCAGCGCCTGCAGGCTGCCCTTGATGTGCGAGCTGATCTCGCGCCACACATACGCTGCATCCATCACAGATCTGCTGGTGGCTCGTTGGTCCAGGTGCGTCCAGTAGTGGCGTCTGAACAGCTCATAATCCACCTCCACATCCTCCTCTCTCTCCCCCTCCCCCTCCTCCTCCACCGCCTCCTTCCCTCGTCCACCCTTCACCGGCTGCTCCCGCTGCCCATCCCAGACCTTACCCCCACTCTCACCTCTGCTTCCCTCGCCTTCTCCCCACCTGTCCCCCTGTGAAGGGCCTCGCCTCCCCCTCGCCTCCCACCTTTCCTTCGCCACTTGGCCTCTCCACGCGCCCCCAGCCTTCCCCTCCTCCCACGCCTGCCTTATGCCCCGCCCGCTCACAGCAATCGCCAGCACCAGGCGCTGCTTTTCCTCCTCCTGCCGGCGCCGGCGCCGCGTGGAGCGCAGGAAGGGGCACGTGACGGACGCGTCGAGCAGGCGCAGCAGCTTGGAGAGAGTGAGGGCGAGGGGGAAGGCGGCGGCGGGAATGGCGGCGATGCACGGCGGAAGACCCCCCATGAGCGCGCTCTCCAGGTCCTCCCGCATCAGCAGCCCGTTGCCGCCGCCACCGCCGCTGCTGCCGGTGCTGGGCGGCATGGGTGCTGGAGCTCCCTCTGTTCCGCGCTCGCATTGCCCCACCTGGGGCAATAGTGGCAGGGGCGAGCCAGCTTGGACCGCATCCAGGGCTGCAATGGCTCTGGTTGGTGGTAACATGGGGGGGTGCGAGCAAGAGAAGCTGCGGGTGAGCCACGTCACTGCTGGTCCAACCCAATCCAATCCAATCCAATCAGTAGTCACAGTGTGTTGCGCAACACAAGGGACTGGCGCAACCAGTAGGTGTGAATATGAGGCAGCAGGGTACTCTTCCATTCGTATGGATTGAGAAACTACATCCGCCCACCCACCCCTTCTGCACCACGTGCTGCGCATTCCTTGGCAAGTCCACATGTAACGAAAGGCCATGCTCTTGTACGCAACGCAACGAAAGGCCATGCTCTTGTACTGTACGCAACGTTCAACACCCATGAGCGTGGCCTTACTGACAAGCACGAGGTAGCATGAACAGCCTGTACGCATGCACCAGCAACCACTTAAGCAGCAGTCCTCTCACTCACCGTGCAGCCTGTGTGAGCTCCGTCTGAATCGACGCGCACAGGTGGAGGCTGCGAGTCACCACCACCTGCCGCAGCCCGCCCGCGCTCCCGTTCCCCTTGCCACCGCCCACGCCGTCACCCCACCCGCTGATTGACGGGTCATCAGAGTTATGCATTCCAAGGAGCAGGTGGGGCGGGAGGGTGGAGAGGCGGAAGAGGCAGTGGAGGCGCAGCACGCGGTGCAGAATGACTGTTGTCTTGCCCATGCCTGGTGAGGGGACGGGGGAGCGAGTGAGCGAGCCAGTACACCACTCTCTGCTTGTTTCACATGCTTGGCTTTGCCTCTCCTACCTGCTACTACTGTACCGTTCACTCTATTCAATGACAGGCACCCTTTGAGAGCGGAAGGGATGCAAATACAGTCAGGGATGCTGCTTTATCTGTGTCGACATTTATGCCGGCTATTGCTACTACTGCTGCTGCAAATTCTGCTATCTCTTTGAATTCTGCTGCTGATTCTGCTGCTGATGCAGCATCTACTGATATTTCTGCACTGCTGTGCAGCACAGCCCTCTTCAACTCCCTCTAGCCGCACTGGACCCCCCTGAAACCCACCGGAGCGGCCGTGGAGGACGAGGCTAGAGGGGCAGGTGACAGCAGCGCGCTCCTCCGCATTGACCTCAAAGGGCACATGGCTGAGAGCCCCGCTGAGCGCCGCTGATCCGTGCGCCAGCAGCGCGAGCGCCATGGCGGGCTGCAGCGCTATCAACCTGGGCGGCGTCACTGCGTCCTCTGCCCCCCCCTCCATGGAAGCTTCTGGGAGGTGAATGAGGGGGACCAGGGGGGATGCATGGGGTGTGAGCTGGCCGATGGGAGTGGACAGAGAAGAGGGTAAGGATCTGTTTTGAGAATTCTCAAAAGGAGTGGACAGAGAAGAGGGTAAGGATCTGTTTTGAGAATTCTCAAAAGGAGTGGACAGAGAAGAGGGTAAGGATCTGTTTTGAGAATTCTCAAAAGGAGTGGACAGAGAAGAGGGTAAGGATCTGTTTTGAGAATTCTCAAAAGGAGTGGACAGAGAAGAGGGTAAGGATCTGTTTTGAGAATTCTCAAAAGGAGTGGACAGAGAAGAGGGTAAGGATCTGTTTTGAGAATTCTCAAAAGGAGTGGACAGAGAAGAGGGTAAGGATCTGTTTTGAGAATTCTCAAAAGGAGTGGACAGAGAAGAGGGTAAGGATCTGTTTTGAGAATTCTCAAAAGGAGTGGACAGAGAAGAGGGTAAGGATCTGAAAGGCGTGACCCAGGGCGGGCTTCAGGAGTACCTGACGAGGGGCGCCACCACTGTATCCCGGGTTGCTGCACGGCCGCAGGGACGCGCAGGCGGGGGGGGTTGCGCGTGTACTGGTGCAGCGCGCAGTAGTGCAGGTATGCAGGCGAGTACGTGGCGAGGTGCGCCGATATGCGGCGCAGCCATGGCCCGCACTGGCCCTCGGGCATGAGCGCCCACAGCCTCACCACCTGCTTGCAGCACGACATGCATGGGGGGGCATGGGTGACATGGGGGGGCATGGGTGGGTAGACATGAGCAAACAGCAAGGCAAGAGATACTTGCCTTGCTTTTTCCTGACTTGTTTGATTCTGCTCAATGCAAACAAGTTCGAATCTCGATTCTGCTCAATGCGAACAAGTTCGAATCTGCTCACGGCAAGGCAGCAAGTAATAGTTGCCTCGCCTGGACATCCAATGGTGATTTTGTCTTGGATTCGTGTGCCCCTTGTAGCTGTAGAGTCGTGCCATGCTCAGAGCGGTAGATCCCCCCTCGCCTCGCCTCACCATGCCTGGCTTACAACCCCCCTCCCCCTCCCCCCTTGCTCCACCCATTAACTGTGCCCCAAGTTGCATAGGGGTCAGGTCGTGGTGTGTGAAAACATACTTGCGAGGATTTTTAAAATTGCTTTCGAACCAGGCACTCATTCATTCACTTGCAAGTACTAATCTGGAGAGGAACTTTAGCCGTTTTTAGCCCAGATTTAGTAATATTGGGCTAAAAACGAGGCGAGGAGCCACTTGCCTTGTTGCTCATGTCTAATGGGGATACATGGGATACATGGGATACATGGGATACATGGGCATGCATGGGGTGCATGGGGTGCATGGGGTGCATGGGGTGCATGGGGTGCATGGGGTGCATGGGGTGCATGGGGTGCATGGGGTGCATGGGGTGCATGGGAGGGCATGGGAGGGCATGGGAGGGCATGGGAGGGCATGGGAGGGCATGGGAGGGCATGGGAGGGCATGGGAGGGCATGGGAGGGCATGGGAGGGCATGGGAGGGCATGGGAGGGCATGGGAGGGCATGGGAGGGCATGGGAGGGCATGGGAGGGCATGGGAGGGCATGGGAGGGCATGGGAGGGCATGGGAGGGCATGGGAGGGCATGGGAGGGCATGGGAGGGCATGGGAGGGCATGGGAGGGCATGGGAGGGCATGGGAGGGCATGGGAGGGCATGGGAGGGCATGGGAGGGCATGGGAGGGCATGGGAGGGCATGGGAGGGCATGGGAGGGCAGGGCATGGGGGAGGGCATGGGCATGGGAGGCATGGGCATGGAGGGCATGGGAGGGCATGGGAGGGCATGGGAGGGCATGGGAGGGCATGGGAGGGCATGGGAGGGCATGGGAGGGCATGGGAGGGCATGGGAGGGCATGGGAGGGCATGGGAGGGCATGGGAGGGCATGGGAGGGCATGGGAGGGCATGGGAGGGCATGGGAGGGCATGGGAGGGCATGGGAGGGCATGGGAGGGCATGGGAGGGCATGGGAGGGCATGGGAGGGCATGGGAGGGCATGGGAGGGCATGGGAGGGCATGGGAGGGCATGGGAGGGCATGGGAGGGCATGGGAGGGCATGGGAGGGCATGGGAGGGCATGGGAGGGCATGGGAGGGCATGGGAGGGCATGGGAGGGCATGGGAGGGCATGGGAGGGCATGGGAGGGCATGGGAGGGCATGGGAGGGCATGGGAGGGCATGGGAGGGCATGGGAGGGCATGGGAGGGCATGGGAGGGCATGGGAGGGCATGGGAGGGCATGGGAGGGCATGGGAGGGCATGGGAGGGCATGGGAGGGCATGGGAGGGCATGGGAGGGCATGGGAGGGCATGGGAGGGCATGGGAGGGCATGGGAGGGCATGGGAGGGCATGGGAGGGCATGGGAGGGCATGGGAGGGCATGGGAGGGCATGGGAGGGCATGGGAGGGCATGGGAGGGCATGGGAGGGCATGGGAGGGCATGGGAGGGCATGGGAGGGCATGGGAGGGCATGGGAGGGCATGGGAGGGCATGGGAGGGCATGGGAGGGCATGGGAGGGCATGGGAGGGCATGGGAGGGCATGGGAGGGCATGGGAGGGCATGGGAGGGCATGGGAGGGCATGGGAGGGCATGGGAGGGCATGGGAGGGCATGGGAGGGCATGGGAGGGCATGGGAGGGCATGGGAGGGCATGGGAGGGCATGGGAGGGCATGGGAGGGCATGGGAGGGCATGGGAGGGCATGGGAGGGCATGGGAGGGCATGGGAGGGCATGGGAGGGCATGGGAGGGCATGGGAGGGCATGGGAGGGCATGGGAGGGCATGGGAGGGCATGGGAGGGCATGGGAGGGCATGGGAGGGCATGGGAGGGCATGGGAGGGCATGGGAGGCATGGGAGGGCATGGGAGGCATGGAGGCATGGGAGGGCATGGGAGGGCATGGGAGGGCATGGGAGGGCATGGGAGGGCATGGGAGGGCATGGGAGGGCATGGGAGGGCATGGGAGGGCATGGGAGGGCATGGGAGGGCATGGGAGGGCATGGGAGGGCATGGGAGGGCATGGGAGGGCATGGGAGGGCATGGGAGGGCATGGGAGGGCATGGGAGGGCATGGGAGGGCATGGGAGGGCATGGGAGGGCATGGGAGGGCATGGGAGGGCATGGGAGGGCATGGGAGGGCATGGGAGGGCATGGGAGGGCATGGGAGGGCATGGGAGGGCATGGGAGGGCATGGGAGGGCATGGGAGGGCATGGGAGGGCATGGGAGGGCATGGGAGGGCATGGGAGGGCATGGGAGGGCATGGGAGGGCATGGGAGGGCATGGGAGGGCATGGGAGGGCATGGGAGGGCATGGGAGGGCATGGGAGGGCATGGGAGGGCATGGGAGGGCATGGGAGGGCATGGGAGGGCATGGGAGGGCATGGGAGGGCATGGGAGGGCATGGGAGGGCATGGGAGGGCATGGGAGGGCATGGGAGGGCATGGGAGGGCATGGGAGGGCATGGGAGGGCATGGGAGGGCATGGGAGGGCATGGGAGGGCATGGGAGGGCATGGGAGGGCATGGGAGGGCATGGGAGGGCATGGGAGGGCATGGGAGGGCATGGGAGGGCATGGGAGGGCATGGGAGGGCATGGGAGGGCATGGGAGGGCATGGGAGGGCATGGGAGGGCATGGGAGGGCATGGGAGGGCATGGGAGGGCATGGGAGGGCATGGGAGGGCATGGGAGGGCATGGGAGGGCATGGGAGGGCATGGGAGGGCATGGGAGGGCATGGGAGGGCATGGGAGGGCATGGGAGGGCATGGGAGGGCATGGGAGGGCATGGGAGGGCATGGGAGGGCATGGGAGGGCATGGGAGGGCATGGGAGGGCATGGGAGGGCATGGGAGGGCATGGGAGGGCATGGGAGGGCATGGGAGGGCATGGGAGGGCATGGGAGGGCATGGGAGGGCATGGGAGGGCATGGGAGGGCATGGGAGGGCATGGGAGGGCATGGGAGGGCATGGGAGGGCATGGGAGGGCATGGGAGGGCATGGGAGGGCATGGGAGGGCATGGGAGGGCATGGGAGGGCATGGGAGGGCATGGGAGGCATGGGGGGAGTGAAACAGTGGGAGAATGCATAGCATGAAAAGGCGTCCGCCGACGAAAATCAACGTGTGGAAGTCCTTACCTGCTTGAGGGTCTCATGGCACACATCGGTTGACCAAATAAGACAAAGATCGCCGACCACGTCGACATGCACGATGTCATTAAGCTGCCGTGACAACTCATCCTCCCGCCCTTGCCCCGCCCCCCTGCCCCCTCCCTCCAGCCAGCGATGCAGTCCCTTGCCGCCCCTCTCCCCTCGCCTGCCCTGCCGGCCCTGCAGTATGCGGCACAGCAGCAGAAGAACCTCTGCTGACTCATGTCGCTCCAGAGCCTCACCAAACGAGGGCGAAAACAAACCCTGTTACAGAAAACCGTTGGCGAAGGGGGGGCAGGGCAGGGGTGAAGAAGGGGGGCGGTGGGGGGGGGGGAATTTGAAGGGGAACAGAGGGAGGGGGGAAGAGGAGAAGGTGAGGGGGATGAAGCCCGAGCGAATGTTAGTTGGGAGAATCTGTGCAGGGAAGACGGTGAAAAGTGCATCCAGGAGTATGGGGAGCAGTGGTGGAACGAGAAATGCTCTTAGGAGGAGGAGTCACGGGGGTCATTGAAAAGCCCTCCTCAGTGCCCCAACCTTCCCCACGCAGCAAACCCCACCGCCCCTCAGCTGAGCTCAATAGCAAAACACGCCAGACATACCGTCCACAGCAAATCATGCCACTGCATACAACTTTCTGACACGCTTCCCACAGGCCCCCCAGACGCAATTCCTCTAGCCTCCCCCAGCATCTGCGCCATCTCCTCCACTGCTGCCCGCCTCGCCCGCACCGCCCTCCTCAGTGCCCCGTCCGCTTGCTCCGCCTCAAAGAACCTGCCGTGGGGCTTGGTGTGGCCAATGACATGGCGCCACGTGGCACTGCTGGATGAGAGGGTGCGCTCGTGGCCCAAGATGATGAGGACCCGTGCCGGGGTTGAGAGAGCAGTGTGGATCCTGTGATGGGGGGATGGATTACGGTTTGAGAGCTCAGCAGAGAGTGACAGAGCCAGCAACCGCGAGACGATACCAGCATTCATGAACACGGACGGACTAGAGTGATGCATCACGCACAAGACTAGATAGTTGCACTAATTATGCAGATATCCCTAACTATTTTCGACTGAGACAAGGCAGCATGGCAACCGAAGCGCATGGGAGGAAGGCAGGGAGGCCAGCAGGCATGCAGAGGCGCAGACCTGGAGGGAGGCCAGAGGGCATCACGGGCACGTGGGCGGGTGGGCGCGGATGGGGGCGCGGATGGGGGCGCGCAGACAGCGGAGAGCAGCACGAGCTGACCCTCGGACGAGACACCGGAGGGACCGGGGCGGCCTGCCATGGCAATCCGCACGGCCCCCACAGGGGCTGCTGCCCCCTGCTGCTGCTGCTGCTGCTGCTGCTGCCCTGCCTGCTGCCGCTTCGCCCTCGTCCACGCCTTCTCCGCGGCGTGCTGCTGGGCGCGCGAGGGCACGAGCAGCAGCGCTGTGCGCAGGCCCTGCAGGGCGCGCGGCGGCAGCACTCGCTGCAGCTGCTGCTGCCACTCCGTGAGCCCACTGCCCGTGCCTGCCACGTGGCGAGAAGTGGGGAGGGGGGTGGGGAGAAGCGGTGGGGAGAGGGGAGGGGAGGGGAGAAGGGGAGGGAGAGGGGTGGGGAGAAGGGGAGGGGAGAAGGGGGGGGAGAGGGGTGGGGAGAAGGGGAGGGGAGAAGGGGAGGGGAGAGGGGTGGGGAGAAGGGGTGGGGAGAAGGGGTGGGGAGAAGGGAAGGGGTGGGGAGAGGAGCGGGGAGAAGGGCAGAGGTCGTCACAAGGAGACGACAAAGAGCGATGGCAAGACGGCAGAGAAGCATGCAGAAAGCAGTGTCTTCACATTTGGAGTGAACACAGAAGCAGGGATGCACCAATTGGGTGGAAAGGGACGAGAATACCCACCGCAGCCGCACAAGGCAGAGAGCAGCGACAGAGCAGCCACCACCTCCACTGTGTTCCTTCGCCCTTGCCCCGCCTCCTCCTCCCCCCACCTGCCTCCTCCTCCTCCGCGCCACGCCATCGCTCCCCCCCACGTGTGTCGTGATCCTGACTGCTGCGCTGACTACCGTCCTCCCTGCCGTCCTCCCTGCCGTCCTCCCTGCCGTCAACTGCCAGAAAACACGCATCGCTCGAGGCCGCACGCCTCGAAGCCTGCACCCGTGCCGCCGCCGCTGCTGTGCTCCATGGCTCTGGTGAGAGCGGCGGTGAAAGCGGCGGGTGAAAGCGGCGGTGCGAGCGGCGGTGCGAGGGATAGGGAACAGCAAAAACGCGTTGAGGAGAAGGGTTGCCTAACTGAAAGAAGCGCCGGCCTCCGTTATCGGGACGTGAGCGACAATGTCTAATGGCAGCCTTTCGCTGTTTGTGCCGTGCAAGTGAAGTACTTTTGCCCTCCCAACAGCGACTCTGAATGTCGTGTGTGCGACAGAAGCAGACGAAGCTCTTGGCGACGAAAAGCGAGCAGCAGGCCGCAAGGGGGAGGAGAAGGCGGCGCATAGCAGGAGGGCAATCTGCGCAAGCAGGCTTGCCACAATCTGCTGGGTGCACCAATACCCGTGCCAGCCGCTCTCCCTGGAATGCGCGTGCATTCCAGCATGCTACGACGGTATGCCGAGGTGAAACGATGCCCTCCATGCCAGGTCAGCCGCAGCAGCATGAGTCTGTTCGGTGCAACATGTGCTCGCCCTCTGCACACCTTCCTCACGCCTAGCATGTTCCTGTTTCGCACGAATCGCACCCCTCTGCTAGTGACCTTGACATAAGTTCAGTTCAGACCCCTCACCCCCCAATAGCATGTTTCCGAAAGAAGGCGTGTTCATTCTGGCAGCGGTCCGTTCCAGAAATGTGAAGACGCATCGGATCCGGAACAGTACGCATTTGACACACGAAGCGGACTTTGCGGCGAGTAAGTAGATTTCGTCTCGTGTAGACTTCAAGCTTCGAACCTCCCTACGACGTAACACGCCCTAGGTGCGAACCGGTAATCCCATCTTCGTTGCCGGTATGGCTACGGTTCTGACTCATCCGATTCATCGTTATCATCAATTGTGCCCGCTGGGCAAAGCTTCTAGTGCTCCCGCTTAGCAGCAGATATGTTAAACAGGATTTGTCCAGGTCAGCCTACACCTACCAAACCGTACCTTCCTGAATGTCAATTACCTGTTGCACAACATCAGCTATTGGCCTTCTGTGAATGCAAAACAGACTTGAACCAGCAAAATGCATTACATGTGAAATATTACTATTTATCAAGCAAACAGCTGGATCTGCCACAACACTTCTGCAAGTACATGGCAGTTCGTGCCTGCGCCACTCCAGCCATCCCAATGTAACCGCACTTCACCGCTCTCTTACGCCGTGGCCTCAGCCTCCATGCCCTCAGCAGCGGGCGCCTCACTCTCCTCTGCTGGCCGCTCCAACTTGGTGCCCGTCTCCTCGCCGCTGTAGTCGCCATGCACCTGAATTTCCATGAGACCACAAGGGCAAAAGTAACGAGGCACATACACAAGCAGCAAACCAACATGCAAGGAAAGATCAGTCACCACAATGACGGTCAAACTTGGGGCCAAGTGGGCTCACCACTGCAGTCACCATGCCCCTCAAGCAAACAGCAGGGGTGTTGGCCCCCAAGCGGAGACAATGGGTAAAAATCATCGACCGCCAGACACTTACACTGAGTCACACATAAACCGCCATGGGCTCACCTCTTTCACCCAAATCTCCACCCCTTCAGGTCACAACCTGAAAACCTTCTTCGCCTTCACGGCAAACCATGCCACGCCACACCCCCTGCCTTCCCTCTCAGCTCTCCCAACCCTCCCTCCCTCACACGTTCACCTCCCTGAATTTGCCCCCCTCTCATCAACATGAGGTTGCTCGCCTTCCCCAAACTCACCTCCATGACCTTCCCCCTCCCCCTTTCCGCTCATCTCCCTCCCCCAACCCCCTCAATGAGCTTGCTTCCACCTCCCCTCCTTTCTCCCCCTCTGCGCCCCCCCCTCCCTCACTGACCTCCATGAGTTTGCCGAGGTCGAACTTGGGCGCCTTGAGGATTTTGACCTTGCGGATGAGCGTGTTCTGCAGGGGGTAGATGCCGAAGCACGCCTTTTCGATCTCCTTGCCGATGCTCTCGGGGATGAACTTCGCCACCAGCTCCTTGAGGTCGCACGACGACGCCTCCTTCACTATGATCTCGCGCATCTTCCTCCGAATCTGTTTGTATCGGGTATAAGAAAAGTGCGAGCGGTGATGGGGCGGGCGGGGGCGGGGCGGGCGCGAGGGGGGGGATGGGTGGGGGTTTGGGGATGAGGGTGAAACGGGAGAAGAGGGGAGTGTTGGCTTCGCCACCAGAACGTTGAGGTGGCGAGACGACAGCTTTTCACGTCGCACACACACGTCGCCTTTATTGCAACGTCCCGCAATCTTCCTGCAGCGAATATCCGTGGTCAGAGAAAGTGACGCTCTTTGTTAAAGCCCTAGGACGTGAATCGGTGTGACCAGGAGGATCTATTGCGTCTATTGGGAGTTTCAGTGTGATCGTTGTGAGCAGCGTCAACAGCCAACAGCCACGGCAGGGCTGCGGGCCGTCGAGCAGCGCTAGTCCGCGAGGGACGTGGTCGCTGTGGGCGTCACGCGGCAGAACAATGGCCATGAGAGAAGGCCGAGCTCTGTTTGACTAGTGCGCCGGACACCACTCGCTGGGATGGCTTGCCACGACTCCTTGGGATTGGCTGGCCCGACTGTCTTTAAAGGCGCCTCAAAAAGCGTCACGCGGCAGAACAATGGCCATAGGGGAAGGCCGAGTTCTGTTTGACTAGTGCGCAAGACACGACTCCCAGGGATTGGGTGGCACGACTGTTTGGGAGTGGCTGCAACGACTGCTTGCACGAGGCCAGGCTACTCTGTCATTGCTGACCAATCACAAGAACCTTGGTCCTCCACTTGGACCCAGTGCCCATACGTAGCCCCATCCCCGTGCCTAAAAACACACCATGACCAGCCACACGATTCCTCGCCCTCGACCTCGTCCTTGGGCGGGACAGATCGCCGTGTCGTGTGGTGATTTCAGAACAGCCCGAAAAGCTACTGCTGCGCGGTCCCTGGCACGCCCCCAGGCATCACTTCGGCCCAAAATTTTACGCTACCTTCACGAATTCCCTGGCCGTCTCGTCAAGCGCCGCGGCGACTGACCTGTCGGATTTGGCTGCTCTGCGCGTAGCTGGTCTTCTTGATCTGGTTCTGGCGGCGCTTGGTGAACGCGATGGCGAACAGGCGCAGCGTGTAGTTGTCGGTGGTCTTCACGTCCACGTGGCACTCGATCAGCGTCTGCCACTTGCGCACCAGCGACCGCAGCTTGTCAGTCGTCAGGTCCATGCCCTGTAACGGGGATAGCAACAGCGATGCGTGGTAGGAGAAAGGGGGAAGAGTGATAAGAACCAGGGTTCGGCTTGTGTAACGAATGTAAAACAACTGAAGCAAGACAGACTGGAGTCGAAGAGAAGCTTTCTGGTGGGGAGACGAGAAGGAAGCAGAAGCAACGGAGTGAGTCCAACAAAACGCTGGCGACGTCAACAGTCACGATATCTGGTAGACAAAAGGTCCTTTCACCTAAGGGCCCCCAATGTCTCCCAGGGCTGGGGACGCGGGCTGAGGGGCAGAGGGGATTACAGTCCAGCTGCAGAAATTTCGGGCCGCCTAATGAACACCGTCCCCACCTCCCCTGAACCCGGCCGTGCTGCCACACTGTGTCGTACAAGCGCAATCCCCTAATTATCGAAGACCCGACTGTGCTTCCCATGCATCGTCACAGTTCCTCCTACCACCCTCCACTTCCAATGCCGTGTGACCGCTAGAAACCTCCTTATAGTGCTTCCCACGGCCCTGCTCATCTCCGCTGCTCTACAATCATGCCGCGCACGCGATTTCAGATCGTCCATCCTTTCCCGCCTTTCCAAAACTTCTCCTTCGAAATTCTTCTTCCCAAATTCGTGGAACGTGCCACCGAAGTTGAAACCCGCCAACACAACCCGCGCGTGTCCCGACATCCTACTCTGCAGATCTAAACTATACCTGCCGCCGCGACACACGGTGCAGGGCTCCATATCCGCGTCTACTTTCCCCTGCGACAATCCTCCCTGCGCAACTTCCGAAAAAAACTCATCCGCTGCGATAAAACAGTACGCGTGGTGGCGCTGTGGCTGTGGCAGCTCAAGTTCGACCCGGTCCACCCCACGACAAGCCCCGATGCGGCCCCACAGTGAGCTAGCAACCACAAAGCCGTGAGCGCGAGGCACTGACCCAGAAGCTCGTGAGGACGTTGCGGCCCTGCAGTCAGCAAACACCTACAAAGCCGCGAGCGGCAAGGCACTAACCCAGAAGTTGGTGAGGACGTTGCGGCCCTGCACGTCCTCGGCGCGGAGGCGCATCTTGCGGAACGACTGCTCGTCGTCCACCTGCAGGTCCGCCAGCGACACCTCGAACACGCGCCCCTTCAGCCCGTCGGAGGCAATCTGCGGGTGACGAGGGATGGGGGAGGGGGAGGTTGGAAAAGGGGGGTGGTGGGGGGAGGGGGGGGATGGGGGGAGGACACAAGGTGACTTTTGAGTCGACTGCTCGTCGTCCACCTGCAGGTCCGCCAGCGACACCTCGAACACGCGCCCCTTGAGGCCGTCCGACGGGATCTGCAGAGCGAGGAGAGACACGAAGGGTGACAAGATAGAGGACACGGCGAGTAAGGCTTGGCAACAGGTCGTGTGATTAGGGCATAGTGAGACAATAACGAATGTAACGGACAATAATGATAGTTCAATCCTAAACACTGCTGCGCCGGCCCAGGCTGGCGACTCACCTTGGTACCCTGCGTGCGGGTAACCAGGGTCTGGCCGACATTCCTGGTGGCGAACATGGAGGGCGCCTTCACGGAGTACCAGTCCTTCTTCGCGAAGGGATCCTGGCTGCACGCACCCGAGCAACGACCGACGGGATGGATTTGAGGGAAAACGTTTGTCGCAGAATGGCATGGACAATGGCCCATCAGCAGAACGGAACGGAATGCGGTGGATATGGCTTGATTTCCATAGCCGTGCAGCGTAGGGACTGATGAAAGATGGGGGAGACGGATTATGACCAGTTGAATCGCGGGTACTTACGCCTTTTTCTTGCCTCCCTTCTTCCCCTTGGAAATACGCTTGTTCTTGCTGCCAGGGGTAGAAAACGCAGAGAACAAATTTCACGAGACAACGTCAGCACCGCGAGCGCGTGGACGAGTGAAGGGAATCAATACTGGAACTATTCAAGAGGGAGACACAATCGAGGACAACCGTGGGTGGTGATCGGTCGAGTCACGCTACGCTTAAGGGAGGTCGTTGAGATGGAGGATACGAAGGCGGTACAGTGCGGTTGAGTGCATAAGTTAAGTGGAGCGAAAAAATCGGGTGAAGCGAGCACTGTGGGCGGGAAAACAGGCGAGCCACCGCGAGAGACTCAAGCACTGGCGGACGAGGAGAGGAGAGATCGGAGTGAGGCAGAGAGAGGCTAATGCGGTCGGATAAGGCTAAGCGGCGCGAAGAGAGAGGACGCCGCCTGCCAGGTTGTCGAAAGATGTGGCCGGTATATGGGAAGAAATTTTAGAATCTACATGACGCGCCGCAATGAAAAAAGCGCTGCTCCTGAATCGTGTCGCATGAAAAAATCTCCTCGCTGTAGACTCTAAGAACGATCAATTTAGGGTTAGGGCCAACCTACCCGACAGCCATGGCGCCTGGTCAAAGAGTAGAGTAGCGCCTGCTAAGAAACGCCAGAAGAGAAAGAAGCTAGGGGCGAGGTGGGGAGAAAAGGTGAGAGGGAGGGCAGAGGGGGAAGCGGGAAGGGAACTCGTAAGGGAAGGGAAAGGGAAGGCAGGAGGAAGTGAAAAGGCTGAAATGAAACAAAAAACGGTGGTTTCCACCCTTCGTCCTGCTAGAAGATTGTTCGCTATGTCCGTAAGATTGTCATTACGTAATTTAAGCAACTGTACACATATACATTGATCTAGTCAGAGCACACTAGCATGACATGTGCATGATGATTGAAATATTAGCAATTACCGGTATCCAGCCCAATATGAACTTCGTATTATTTCTTGAAGGAAAAAAAAAAATAGATGGTGTCAGTCTAAATTGGAGAATCTGATATACTTATACCATAGTCTAACTTCAAGAATATGCCTTACAGATGCTTGAAGCAACAGAAATTGGTGAACAGAATCTCAAGTCACTGGATTTTGAAATAATATGGGCACATTATTCGAGGTGGGGTTATTAATTATTATTTAGAACGCATAATAATTATTCATAATGGATAAGCAAGTGCCAGTACATGTTTGTCATAGGTCCACTGGAGATCCCCGATTCATCCTAGGGAAGGGTTACACATACGTCGGTCTGGGGGGTTATGGGCGCACTCACCCGCTACACAAACAAGCCATTTTATCCCAGTGGTTAATGGTTGGGTTTCTAACATAGTTTCAGAGCGAAGGTTTCGGAATCGAATCCTGGTGTGTACACCTCAGGCATCCCAGTGCGGGAGGGTGTCAGAGGTCCACTAGAGATCCCCGATTGATCCTAGGGAAGGGTTATAGGCACGTCGGCCTGGGGAGTTATGAGCGCACTCACTGTTAGAACATATATTTGTATATGTTGTTAGTTATACTATGTTGTAATAGGGCACTCCTTAGAGAGCATTCTAGTTTTAGGTTTTCTCCTTGTTCTTCTCGTCATGTTGAGAAACTAGGCAAGAATGGATGAACTAGCAAACCAGTTTGGTACAAGTACTAACCATGATTGGGTTGTACCCCATACAGGCTACCCCACTACAGCCTACACAACACATCATAATGTTCTGACACACCCCCATAGGCAAAGTGGGGGAGTACAAGCAGTCACAGAAAAGCAAAGCAAGCTCAGGGTGGATCACAATGTCACCAAACACTTCGAGCACAAGCAAATGGCCACAAGGCCAGTTCACATGCAGAGTTATATAAAAGAGAGCAAACAGTACAGTGATCATAACCTAGCAAGAGTAAGCATGCAGGTATATATATAGATCACAATACAAGCAAGGTCACGCAGTCAGCAAATGAGCAAATGTAGGCACTAGGCCTAAAGCAGTACACAGATGCTGATGATCACTAGGCGAAAGTGCCTTGGTGAAGATATCAGCTGTGTTGGCCCGAGTGGCCACGTAAGCAAGACGAAGCTGACCACACTGCTGCAACTCTCGAGCAAGGAAGTAACGCAGAGCGATGTGCTTCGTTCTGTGCTCCAGTCTGTGCTCCTGACACAAGGCAATGGCGGCCTTGTTGTCGACGTACAGAACTGGAGGAGAACTAGGCCACTCTCTGTCAGAATGTGATATTTGTCTAGCCTGCAGTGGGGTACTCTATAGCGAGTATAGCCCAAATTAGGGTTTCCTATATGTACTCAACTGCCTGCTAGTGCAAAGCCTCTTTGCCTGTTCTAGCTTTCTGCTGCTTGTTTTAACATGGTATCAGAGCAGGTCGACCCTCCTGGGTCGATCCTGTGGGTGGTCCCGCCCGATGCTTCCGCTGCTGTCTTGTGTGTCGCGCGCCCCGTGGCGCGCAACGGTTTTCTGCTCGCCATGCGCTCCGAAAGCGCGGCGGTTTTCTGCCCGCTGTGTTCCCCGAGGAGCGCGGCGGTTTTCTGCCCCGGGGACCCGCGCTTCACCCCCCGTCGCGCGTCGAGGGGCCCCTGGAGACCCGCGCGTCGCCCCCCGTCGCCCGACGCGGCCCGCGCGACCTGCGCCAGGCCCGCGTGCGGCCCGTACGGGCTGCGCCAGGCCCGCGCGCGGCCCGAGCAGCCCACGCGCGGTTCGTCCGGCCTACGACAGGCCCGTTCGCGGCCCGTACAGTCTGCCCCAGTGCCGCACGCCGTCCCCCGAGCTTCTGACCGCGCCCGCCCCCGCTGCTGCCCGCGCTCCTGTGTTAGGGTTTGGGGGTGGAGAGTATGGGGGTGCCGGGTGTGTGTGCCGTCCCCTCCTCCTCCTCCTCCTCCTCCTCCGTCTCCCACTGCTGCAGCTACCGCTGAGGGGGGTGGATGTGTTGGAGCCGTCGGAGTGGTACGAGGGGGGTGGCGTGTGAGCGGTGCTAGAGGTTATACAGTGAGTGTGTGAAAGGGGTGTGGGACAGTTGGGGGAGGTTGAGTGGAGGCAGCCGTCTTGTCGTCCGCAGTGCCTGTAGTCCGAGGCCCGTGGGTCTGGTAGCCCAGCGAGCCTGCTGCGCCAGTCGCCCATGAATGGGTCAGTTGCTCCTGCCGCTCGTCTTAGCCGCGGAGCCAGTTACTCCTGTAGTCCGGGGCGTTTTTTCTCCGGTAGCCACCGTGCGCGCCGCTCCTGTTGCCCGTGTGTCTGCGGCTTCACCCGTCGCCTCCTATCTCCACTCCTCTCACAGTCCCTCCTCCTCCTCACTTGCCCTCTGTGACTGCCTCTAGTTTTGCTTGTACTTGTGAACCTGCTCTATGACTGCTTGCTGTGCTGATTATACCCCACTTTGACTATGGTGCTATGTCAGAATGTGATATTTGTCTAGCCTGCAGTGGGGTACTTTATAGCGAGTATAGCCCAAATTAGGGTTTCCTATATGTACTCAACTGCCTGCTAGTGCAAACCCTCTTTGCCTGTTCTAGCTTTAAGCTGCTTGTTTTAACACTCTCCCAAGTCAGTCAGCAGGTAGGTGAGCCAGTGTAACTCCTGTGCAGCCATGGCTGTGGCATAGATCTCAGCCTCACAACTGGAGCTGAGAACAGAAGACGAGCGGGTAGACCGCCAAGAGACAGAGCCGGAACCAAGGCTGAAGGTGTAACCCTGTGACGACCGCTGCGTAGCCAGGTCGTCAACCCCAGAGGCGTTTGATTGTCCAGTGAGGACAACTCGACCCCGTCCTCCAAGCACCAGCCCCATGCCCGATGTACTGCACAAGTAGCGTAGCACCCTCTTAGCAGCCTCCCAGTGCTCTCGCCGGTGTCTCCCGGGCGCAACGTAGCGAGCCAGGATGCTAAGAGGGTACGCAAGGTCAGGTCGAATGCAGGTCATCAGGTACATGAGGCAGCCCACAAGCTCTGGATACGGGCCACTCGGCTCTACGGACTCATCCGAAGGCAGAGCTGAGAGCGAGTGATCCGTAGCCATACGAGTGGACTATGGCGAGGACCAAGTGAAGCCGAAGCGCTGAAGGACCTGCTGCACCATGTGTGACTGAGTCAGGGTGATGGTGCGCCGTGCTCTGTCCCGGGTGATCTGCAAGCCAAGGTAGCTACGCAGCTCACCTAGGTCTGTGCACGTGTGTCTATTTTGTAGCTCCGACTTCACAAGGGCGAGAGCCTCGGTGTCAGCAGTGGCAAAGACCAAGTCGTCGACGTACACGAGGATAAAGAACGACGACAGCGAAGTGTCTGTGCACAGAAACAACGACGGATTAGCAGTCGAAAGAGCAAACCCGAGAGCTTCAAGCATCGTCCTCAGTGTGTCGTGCCACTCACGAGGCGCCTGGCGGAGACCGTAGACTGGTCGTCGAGGGCTCCACTGGGTACCAGCAGGAAACGACCCAGTGAAGCCAAGTGGGCGGCGCAGCCAGATCTCCTCGTGCAGGCTGCCCTGCAAGAACGTTGTGCTGAAGTCAAGAGAGTGAATCTCGTAGTCACGCTGAGCGGCAACGTGCAGCAGCACCCGAAGAGTGGTCATCTTCGGGGTAGGGGAGAAGGTCTGGAAGAAGTCAACTCCCTGTCACCAACTGAAGCCTCGTGCAACGTAACGAGCCTTGAAGAAAGGCGGAGAACCCGGCGGCCGCTTCACCCTGAAAATCCACATGACATCTGTCAGAATCACTAGGCAAGAATGGTGCATTGAATGAAACAGTTGGGTACAAGTAGCAAACCCTAGTTGGGGTTGTACCCCATATTGGCTACCCCACTACAGCCTACAAGCATAATACAGTTTAACACACCCCCATAGGCAAAGTGGGGGAGAACAAAGGGTCACAAGACCAGTCCAGCAAAGCAAAACAAAGCCCAGGGTGGATCACAACGTCACCACACTCCGAGCACAAGTAAAGGCCACAAGGCCAGTTCACATGCAGTGCTAGATATAGTACAAGACAAGCAACACAGTGATCAAAAACCTAGCAAGTAAGCAACAAGATATATATAAAGTACAGTACAAAGAATGTCAAGCAGTGAGCAAGTGAGGAAACGTGGACACAAGGCCTAAAGAAGTACAGTGCCGCTGATGATCACTAGGCGGGAGCGCCTTGGTGAAGATATCAGCAGTGTTGGCCTTCGAGTCCACGTACACAAGTCGAAGCTGACCGCGCTGCTGAAGCTCTCGAGCAAGAAAGTAGCGAAGAGCAATGTGCTTCGTCCTGTGCTCCAGTCTGTGCTCCTGACACAAGGCAAGAGCCGCCTTGTTGTCACCGTACAGAACTGGAGGAGAATTAGGCCGCTCTCCCAAGTCAGTCAGCAGGTAGGTGAGCCAGCGTAACTCCTGTGCAGCCATGGCTGTGGCGTAGATCTCAGCCTCACAACTAGAGCCGAGAACAGAGGAAGAGCGGGTGGACCGCCACGAGACAGAACCTGAGCCAAGGCTGAAGGTGTAACCCTGTGACGACCGCTGCGTAGCCAGGTCGTCCACCCAAGAGGCGTCCGAGTGACCAGTGAGGACAACTCTGTCGCGTCCTCCAAGCACCAGCCCCATGCCTGATGTACTG